TTCACCAATGTTGCAGGATACAAAATAAATGCCCCCAAATCAGTTGCATTTATATTCTACAAAAATGAACCAACAGAAAGAGAAATCAAGAATGTAATCCCATTTTTCATGACAACAGTCATGAAAAAATAAAAAAAAAAACCCTATCAATTTAACTAAGGAGGTGAAAGATCTCGACATTGAAAACTACAAACCACTTCTGAAAGAAATTTAGAAAGACACAAAAAGATAGAAAGACATTCCATGCTCTTGGACTGGAAGAATTAACATTGTGAAAATGTCTATACTTCCCAATGCTATCTACAGATTTAATGTAATCCCCATCAAAAACCAATGACATTCTTCATAGAAATGGAAAAAACAATCTTAACATTCATGTGGAACAACAAAAGGCCTGGAATAGCCAAAGCAATCCTGAGCAAAAAAATAAATAAATAAAATAAAGCCAGAGGCATAACACTACCTGACTTCAAATTATACTACAAAGCTGTAGGAACTAAAACCAAATGGTACTGTCATAAAAGTAAACACTTGGGCCAGTAGAGCATAATAGAGAACCCAGAAATTACCCTTCAGGCTTACAGCCATCTGATATTTGACAAAAAACGTACATTTGGGAAAAGACTGCCTCTTCAATAAGTGGTGGTGGCAAAATTGGATATCCATATGCAGAAGAATAAAATCAGATAGGCATCTCTCACCACATACTAAAATCAACTCAAAATGGATTAAAGACTTAAGTATAAGACCTGAAACTGTAAAACTACTAAGGGAAAATACTTCAGGAACTAAGTCTTGGCACAGACTTTATGAACATGATCCTGAAAGCACAGGCAACAAAAGAAAAAACAAAGAAATGGGACTATATCAAACTAAAAACTTCTGCAAAGCAAAGGAAACAATCAACAGAGTGAAATGACAACCTACAGAGTGGGAGAAAATTTTTGCTAACTATGCATCTGACAAGGGACTAATATCTAGAATATACATAGAACTCAAGCAATTATACAGTAAAAAAAAAAAAAAAAAAAAAGAAAGAAAGAAAACCCACTAAGAAATGGGCAAAGGAGCTGAATACACATTTTTTCAAAGGAAGACATATAAACGCCAACGGGTACATGAAAATATGCTGAACATCACAAGTCATCAGGAAAATGCAAATTAAAACCACATTGAGATATCATCTCACCCCAGTTAGACTGGCTATAATCAAAAAGACAGAGAATAACAAATGCTGGTGAGGGTGTGGAGAGAAGGGAATGCTCCTGCATTGTTGGTGGGACTGTAAATTAGTACAACCACTATGGAAAACAGTATGAAGTTTTCTCAGACAACTACAGATAGATCTTCCATATGCTCCAGCAATCCCACTTCTGGATATATACCCAAAGGAATGGAAATCATCATGTCAAAGAGATGCCTGCACTCCCATGCTCATTGCAGCTCTATTTACAATAGCCAAAATATGGAACCAACCTAAATGTCCATTGATGGACTATTGGGTAAGGTAAGTGTGGTATATATACACCATGGAATACTATTTGGTCATAAAAAAGAATGAAATTCTCCTATTGCAACAACATGGACAAGCTTGAAGAAAATTTTTTAGTAAAATAAGCAAAGCAAAGAGGGAGAAATACCACATGTACTCACTCATAAGTGGGAGCTAAGAGACAAAGAAGGAAGGAAAGACCACAGTGGTGCATTGGACTTGCAGAGGGAGAGAGCATACCTAGGGATACAAAGTGGAGTGGGGCAAGGGGGATGGGGAGGGTAGATAATTGGGTGGAGGACACGGGGTATAATCACAATTTGTGTTAATGGGAATGCTGACATTATGGATCAGGCCATTACATCTTGGGCATGAGTCATGACAATCAGCTTTTATCTCATGAATATTCATAACCAATAAAAAAGATTTGCATAAATATATTTTTAACCCCCCCAAAATTAATATTGTTAGTACAGCAATATTCCCTAAATTGATCTGCATATTCATTGTGATCCATATCAAAACTCCAACTGATTTTTTTTGCAGAAATGAACAAGCTGATCCTAAAATTCATATGGAATTAAAAGGACCCTGAATAACCAAGAGCAAAGTTGGAGGACTGAGAATTCCTGATGTCAAAACTTATTATGATGCTCTAGTAATCAAAAATGTGATACATAAATATAGACATATATCATTAGTACAGAATTGAGAGTTCAAAAATAAATTCATACATTTGTAGTTCATTGACTTCAAAATGAGCTGGAGAAAGAATAGTCTTTTCAACAAATAGTGTTTGGACAAATGAAAAGTCAACATGTAAATAAGTGAAGTTGTCCCCTACTTCACATCATGTACAAAAATTAACACAAAATGGACCAAAGATCTAATGTAAGAGACAGAGGTATAAAACTCTTAGACAAAATCATAGATGTACATCTTTGCAACCTGTGGTTTGGCAAGATTCTTAGATATACCACCAAAAACGTGTTACAAAAGAAAAAAAAACAGATGAACCGATTTTTATCAAAATTAAAAACTTTTGTGCATCAAAGGACACCATAAATAAAGTGAAAGAAAACCATAGGAGAAAATTTTTGTAAATCATGTATCTGATAAGGAACTTGTCTCTAAATTATATGCATGTCTTATAGCTCAATGCTAAAAAGACAGCTCAATTAAAAATGGGCAAAGGATTTGAATAGACATTTCTTTAAAGAAGACAGGTAAATGACCAACAAGCAACTAAGTTGCCCAACATCATTAGGGAAATGCAAATCAAAAGCACTTGATTTTATTACCCCCAAATCACCCTACTGAATGGTTACAGGGGTGGCTGAAGTATCACGGCCATTATTATCATCACTGGATTACACATACAATCCCTGCTGGATTCTGTGCTTCCTAAGATGAAAACTAATCAACAACATCAAGTAGTAATGACATTGATTTCATCAGATGGGATCATTCCTTAAGTGAGTCACTCACCTACACTTCACTACCAGCACAGGCATAAAATACTTTATCTTCAATTTTCTGAGATTGCCTTCTCCTAAAAGAGTGAAGGTAATGATTGCATTTTGGGGGTAAATTAGGGGAAAAGTGGAAATAAATAAAAGTGGAAGGGAAATATATCCATACAAATAGATTTGTTGTAGCAAACAATAGAGAACCATTTCATGTAATTAAACCTAAATAAAAGTGTACTGACTGAGAATAAATAATGTGCCAAACACTGTGCTAAGTATTTTTTAAAAAGACAAACAATAAGTGTTGTCAAGGATGTGAAGAAAAGTAGAACCCACATACATAACTGGTGGGAATATAAAATGCTGAAGTCACCTTGGAAAACAGTCTAGAAGTTCCTTAAAAAGTTAAACATAATTACTATAAGACCCAGTGGTTTCACTCCTAGCTATGTACTCAGGAGAAGTGAAACATACATTTACACAAAACTTGATACATGAATGTTCATAGCAACATTATTCATAATTCACAAAATGTGGAAACAACCCAAATGTCCATCAGCAAACAAAATGTGGTATATTGATGTAATGGAATATAAAAAGGAATGAAGTAATAATACATGTTACAACATGGATGAACCTGAAAACATGATGCTAAGTTAAAGAAGCCAGACACAAAAGACCACACGCATGTTGTAATTCCATTTATATGAAATGTCCAGAATAGACAAATCCATAGATACAGAAAGCAGATTAGTGGTTGCCAGGGGATGGTGGGTGGGGGTGGATTGGGGGGAAATGGGGAGAAACTGATAATTGGTACCTTGTTTGTTATTTGGGTGATAAAAATGCTCTGGAATTAGTGGTGATGGTTGCACAACATTGTGAATATACTAAAAACCACTGAATTGCACATTTCAAAATGATTAAAATGGTGAATTTTATGTCATGTTAATTTTATCTCAGTGAAAAAATTTTTAAGTGCTTTCAGAAATATTGCAATAGGAAAAAATCAAGTATTATAATATTCCAGGAACTACATTTTCGGAGGTATAACAAACCATAATAATCTTTGAAGAGTCTTTTTATTAAGATAAATCCAGTAAACATATATTCAAAACTGCCCTTCTGAAATAAACATTTGTATTTCTTTTAAAAATCAAATTACAATTTTTTTCTCAAGCTAATAATAAAGTTATATTTGGGAAAGATAAGTCTAACTCAGCATTACATGAAAATAGTTACCTTCTTTATAAAAGCAACCTAGAGAACCACAAGAATTTTAGATGAAACTCTTTGTTTTGGAATCCCTCCACTTTGTGAAATGATCACATATACAGGAGAAAAATTTAAATTCACACAACTTACCCAAAACAGAATTCACCAACAAAGTTGAATGTTTTCTATGTATTCTACCACTATAATCACAAAATTTATAGATAAAGGTTTTATGTTAGAAACTTTATGGCTAATAATCAGTATGAAGATATTTTGAAATTAAATCAATGCTAAAGAAAAACGTGTTTATAAAATATTTGATAAAAATATTTATCTCTATTAACATTACAACATGACATACATATTACCAAATTATGAAACTGTATAGGGCAGTTTTAGACAATACTCAGAGACTCCTCTTTTTTTTCATCTTCTTTTTTGATCTCTTCTTTTTCAGCTTCTTTTCCAACTTCAGCATTGCTTTCACCTTCCTTTTCATCTCCATCTTTCCTGTCTCCTTTTCCATTTTCTTCTTTTCCATCTTCCTCCTCTTTTTCATCTTCTTTGACTTTTCCATCTTCCTCCTCTTTTTCATCTTCTTTGACTTTTCCATCTTTCTCTTCTTTTTTGTCTTCTTTTCCATCTTTATCCTCTTTTCCATTTTCACCCTCTTTTTCATTTCCTTTCGCTTTTTCTTCTTCTTTTCCATCTTCTTTCCCTTTTTCACCGTTGTCTTCCTTTCCATCTTCTCCTTTCTCTTCTTTGTTTTGATCTTCTTCATCTCCTTTCTGATCTTTTCTGTCTTCTTTTCCTTCTGCTGCCACTGGTTCTTCCTTTTCTCCTCTCTCTTCTTTGACATCTGCAATTTTTTCTTCTATTTCCTCAATTTCTTTTTCAGGAACTGGTGCCTAGATGTATAGTGAAAATAGTCAAGATTCTGATTGTAAATTTAGAACTGTTTCCCCTAAATATTTAAATCGAATTATATCTATTTTATGGAAACACCGTAAAGGCCTCCTAAATATCATATCATGAGGAAAACATTCTAAGAAATAAGATTAACTAAAATATCTCCATACAAACATCCACAAATAGATATTTGGAACAATACATTCAGGAAAGCTTATTCATATAAATAATTTTCATTACAAATATGAGGAAGCACAAAGTAAATATGTAAAGGATGACATGGACTTAGTATGTATCAGCAATTCTCAATGAATATTAACAAAATACAGTCCTTGGGAAAATAACACATTTTGTTTCTATAATGTTGAGATTTGGGCTTTTATTGCAAAAATTACATGAAAAGTCCTGTACCAGATATCATAAGATCACTTACAAAAGATTTTCCACATATGCACATGTTTGGTTTGTAGATTTGGTCACTACATCTCATTTTCAATGTTTTACTACAATACCTAGAAATGTATTATGCACTAAATATGAACAGCAAGACCTATTAAAAACATTTACATAATGATTTGTTTTGCAGTCTGCAGGGAAAATAAATGAATCATATGTTCTGAAAAAGGGATTTACAAATAGCCCATGTACTGACAAAAGGAATAGAGGGTCATTACATTAGTACTAAGTCACGATCACTGGCATCGCTCTAGTAACAGCAATGCTAGCCCACTGCTCCCATGATGAGTACCTATAAATTCTCATATTTTAAATTCATTTTCTCTTCCCCTTAGATATCATTACACTATAGAACCACTACTCATTTAATGTTTCTCAACTCTTAAGCTTAAAGGCAAATAAGATTTCTTTCAGTTTCACCCATGGTTAAACTTTCAAATGGACAAATCTGTTAACATTGTAAGATACCTCTATAGCTATGGATTCTCCATTTTCAGTATTTTCATTGTTGTGTTCTTCAACAACAACTTCTTGCTTGGTTTCAGTAATTGCTTTGGCACTTGTATCAGTGTTTTTTTCCATCGTATCATTTTTTGCCTTCATTTTCTGTTCAGAAACACACAAAAATAAAATAAATACACAGTTCAACTGCTGTGTTGATTAAATGCTCAAAATTATTTTGCCTGTTGTTCTAATAATTTATAGAAAAGTTTAAAATACCACATACAAACCAGATATAACAAAATTATCACAACACTTTCAGTTTTATTGTAAACCTAAAGCAGCATTAAAAATGAGCAACGCTCTCCTGATATAAATCAAATAAATTTGCTTTTAAGGTGAGTGATATAGATGAGAAGCAACAAGTTAGAATGCTGACCAGTGCCACCAAGGGTCAATTGCCAGCATCAGGTTAGACTGAGAAATTCACTCTCTCTGACTAGAGAGGGTCAGTTTATCTTTGTCAAGTCTAATAATTAGCAACAAGTGCTTGTTGATTGTAAAGCCTCCATTGGTAATAGAGAAATGCTGTGTTAGCAAGAGCATTAATTTAGATATATTTAAAAGAGATCACCTGGGAATATGGGTGTTTCAATCTTTGTATCTACAAGTTTTGAAATTCCTCAAATCATGATTGCTTTACCAAGAAAGTTCTTTGCCTAAGTGTATATGTAGTAGAGGGACCACTGGATTAAGGGGCCAGAAAACCTGTGCTTGAATTCTGGCTCTGCCACTTACGTGATATGATCTTGAGCAAAAAGCCTAAATCTCTTTGAGGCTGTTTTTCCATATGTAGAAATACCATCTACCTCACAGGGATATTATAAGGAACAAATGAGAAAATGCATGTGAAATTGCTCTAGAAAATGTAAAATGCAGTATAGATATGTTATTACTCTTTTAACACATGAGAAACTGACAACCAAGGAGGGTAAAGCATTTTTAAAGTCTATGATTATATAGTATGTGTTTTAATCTGGCACTATTTTCTCTTTTTAAGAGAAAATAAACTGTATTTACTGTTTTAGTAACTTGTAAATTAGGTACCTTATTTTATAGAATAGTGAACTTTTAAAGTAAAATAAAGAAAAAATAAAAAAGACACTTTCTTTTCGGTTGTCACTTACTATTAATAAATAAACTATTACTAAAACTTCACTTGCCTTAGTTCTAGAGATATCTTTTAATCAAGGATTTCAAATCATTTGATGAACATGACGACAATTTACAGTTTCTTCAACTACAAAATGATGGGATTAGATATCTCTAATGTTTCCCATAATTTTAACCTTTTATGATTTTAGGAATTCAACTGATCCTTAAAATATCCTTATGTGTTAAGCAATTAACAGTGAACTTAATAATGAAGTTATTTCTATTTCTACACGTCTTAAGCCACAACATCAGAGCATAGAAGTGTATATGAAATCAATTGCGTCCATTTAAAAATAAAGTATCTGAAAGCACTTTGCAAACTTTAAAGTATTATCAAATGTTAGTTACTACTATTATTACAAAGCACTACTTTGGTTAATACAGTTTACACGTTTTGTTTTCCCAGGAATATTGGTATTGTAACTATACAATGTCAAAGACACGTGATTTAATGGGTCTATCCAACTAAAATTTTGTTTTGTTTCTACCCAGTGAAGATGCCAAGACATAGTGGACAATTACAAAATAGGAACACATATTCCCCACCCAAAGGGCTTATATGTACTACATGGTATAATATACTATGTTACTAACTGAACAAAAAATAAGGCAAAATGATCAAAATCATTCTGAAGAAAAGCAATTTTCTTTCAACATTCCAAGTTGAATATTTACCCTTGGAGTTGATGTTCTTTTGGACTTCAACTCTGGTGTAATGGGCACAGGCATCTGCATAAAAAAACACAAGCCATGGAAAAAGAAAAAAAAAGGAAGAGATAATTGAAGAGAGAGCATTGAAAACAATGAAATCCAATATCAGAATTAAATGGGTATGGGTATGGTTCAAACTGAGCACTAGGAAAAAACAAAACAAAACATAACATTTCCTTGGTGTGAAAGCTTTTTTCTTAAAACTTCAAAAACAAATCTAGTATTAACTGTAATGTTATTCAGGATTCCCTGAATTTTAAGATTACATTTCACAACATAGGGGTGGCTTTTTAAAAAGATTACTTACAGCAGACAGTCTGGCCGATCTTCTTTTTGGCTATAAGTGAAAAAAAAAATACCAGTTAAGAGAATTATGGATATGCAAAACTAGAATTATTTTTATTATGGTGAAAATATTTGTGTAACAGTATATAAATATTGTTATTAAAGTAGCAATAATGAACTTGGTTAGAAAAATACCATGGTAGAAATATAAGTTTGATTTTTCCCTCCTCTGAACCTTTCATATGCTCTTGAAAATAATCCCAAATTAAGCTTCAGTTGCTAGGCTAGAATAACACAATGGCTAGTAATAAGTAACATATTTCGAAATGAAAATATAGCCTCTTCTTGCAAACTGACAAAGCAATTCTTTTGCTTAAAAAGAAGAAGCTCTTTCCAGATCTTAACAAGCACAATAAGGTCCTAAATTTCAAGAAGTTTGGAGTTTTTAACTGGTTTATCATATTTGTACTCATATGGTACAATTATACCAAACAGAATCTATTTTTTAGCTGCTTATGTGTCTCAAGTGTATAAAATGAGTGGATATTTTCGGACAGATTCTAAAACTAAAGAAACTCACCTCCTGTCTCATATCACCTTGACCTGCAGCCTATACAGAGGAGAAACCACACAGAAATAAGGTAATCGATATAAACATAGATCAGAAAAATTGCCTATGCCATTACAGTTGCAGTATAACTGCTTATTCGTTTTTCCTGGGTTCCCCCTCAAGTAGCCACGTGTTGTATCCTAGGAGCAATGCTACATACAGCTGTCTTCTAATACGCAAATGTGCATCAAGATCTAAGTTGCATACTCAAGACATACGTTTACATGGTTGATAGTCAATTTCATACTTTTGTGTAAATCGTATCTCCTAAAAATAAGCCTTTTTAATTTTGAAATCCACCTGCTATAAACAGTGTTAAAGCCAAAAACAAACAACCCCCCCCCAAAAAAAAAATCCCACAAAGTGTGGGGGTGGGGGGAATGAAAGCGGAGCTTCATGCAATTACCCTGTTTCTCTTGCCTTATGTTTGCTATGCAATTGTACCTATCTGATACTCTACTGACTATGGACTAATTTCCTCTCCAAGTTCTGCATACAAGAACTACAAACCCCACAATGCTTTGGGGGGTGGGGCGGAACTCTTCGTTACAACGTCAACGCTTTATTCTGAGAAGCCAGCCGCGGGTTTAAAAACTTCCCGCCACTACCTGCTACAAGGTTGCTGTCAGCTCTGTAAAATAGCAAGACCAATTGCACAATTCTAGAAAAGCACAGCGGCGGGAATCTCAGGAAGGGGGATGGTGTTTAGAAACGATTACTTTCTGTATTGAGCAGCCCTTTGGCCTGGGAATTACTAAGCTATCGCACGATTCATACTCACATCCCCAGACCACCGGGGAATTTCACTCTTATTCCTATGTTCTAGGAATAGGGAAGGCGTACAGATTAATAGGAATAACATAAGAAACAACCATAATGCCTTACATTAGCGTAGTGTGTTATGTGTTACGGTTTTACCAGGCAACGAAACAGCGTTCGCTTTCACTTCTAAGGTACTCAGAAAAAACAAACACTGAGTGTGACCTTATTTCCCGTGAGAGGAGCCAGGAATTTTGAAGTGACGGTTTGCAGAAGACCTGTACCCCTTGAATAGCTCAGATCAATTCTGCATGTCTAAAAGTGAACAAATCCATGCTACTCCAACATTGGCAATAGCTAATCGGACGCAGTTCTCTTATCACCTTTCCACCTTTAGCTAGAGACCCTGGAGAACGCCAGATCTCTCAGCCCTAAAGTTTCTAATTACAGCGGCGAATCGCTCCCTTCTCTAGGACAGTTTGAAGTTTGCGCCGCCTAATGGCACAGGATTACCATTGCACAGCCGTCTGGCATGACAAGAAGTGGAGGAGGGCAGAAAAAAAAGGAAAAAGAAAACGGGAAGAACAAAGGCAAATACAGGAGAAAGCCGTGGCTTTCGTTCTCCCAAACGGGACGGATCCCCGAGAAAAGCCGGAGACAGAGAAGGAAACTGGTGCCTGGAAGTGTGGTTGGGAGGAGAAGTGTTCGCCAATAGGGTAAGCGGAGGAAGGGGGGTGGGGTAGGAAGCAACAGCACAGCGCTATGGCTGTTTGTAATCCAGCATGGAGACACCTCTCAAGCGATTTTTTTTCTGAAACAAAACACGCCAAAAGTGAACTACCAGTTGCATGCGAGACCGTTCTAAACCTTACACCTACTGCTCTTTGCCCTTCCCTCCCCTTCCATTCAGTACATCACAAAATCGAACTAGAAGCCAAAATGTCTTTTTAAAAAAATCTCTGCCTATTAGGAAATATGTATTTCAGTAGCTAATCCCCCTTCTGTCTTTCCATTTCACTTACCTTTCTTTTGGGCATTGTTGCAGCTCTCTATAGGAGATTTTAACAGTCAGCAGGAAAAAAGCCGAAAGCAGTCTCTGCTCGACAGCTCGGAGAGCAACTGAGTTTTCAATGAACTAATTGCAGCACGACCTGTACTAGCCTCCAAAAAAAAAAAAAAAAAAAAATCCCTTGTTATTGGCAATATTAAACACGCCAAGACGCAACCAGACTACCTGAATGGTTAGCAGGAGTGGGAGACAGATTGGAGTGACAGTCTGTTAGGCCAATAAGGGAAGGTGGCAGGCTCGGGGGGCGTGGCCCGCACACTTGCCCAAAGCTCCCTTATGCTGCCAGCTCTGGCCGCTGGTGGAGTCGAGGAGAACGCGGACTTAATAGACGCGAAGTGCTTAGGCATAAGACAGGAAGGAAAGCCAGGGGTGTCTTGATCGGGTTTTTTTTTTTTTTTTTTCTTTTCTGTTGTAATGACAGACGAAAGCCACAACAGTTGCTTTCTTCACAGTCTCCAAAACCCCACCTTTCCCTCTTCCCGGGGCAGGGGGGAAGTTTGCTTTTGATGCTGACTAGAGTCTGGACTCGTCTTTCCCTGCCATCTTTGTCCAGAGGGTAGAGATGAAGTGACAGGAGCACTCATTCAGAGAGTGGAAAAGAGTGGAGATGTTTCTCTGGTGCGTGAACTTCCCGCCAAAGCAGAATTGTGGTCCTGGCACGAGGAGGGTGCCAAAATGGCGCATCTCCCGCAGGTGGAGAGTAGCAACAAGATTGGGAGCTGGAAGAGCGGGAGGCGCCTGGAGACCGGGATGTCGGTTATATACCGTTATCCCACTTGGCGGGAGTCCACCAAGAATTCAATGGGACCCCGCGGGAAGTTTGTAATAGCAGAGGTCTATCCAAAGGAAAAGCATTGATAGAATGGATTTTTAATCCACAGGTGGCATTTAGTGAAGGGACTCAGGAAGGTGCCATGCTTGAAAGTGTTTAGGACTCAGTGTGGACTACCGTAAAGCAGTTGGGGTACTCACCTCTGGTACAAGATTTAAGATTGTTCCAAAACGCGAGAAGATTATGGGGAGGTGAGTGAGGCGAGAAGTGCACGTGCAGGGTAGAATCCCAACTTCATTTAAAATTTTGATATTTTGCTCATCATGAATTTTTTCCGTTAATTTTTATCTTTTAAAAATGTTGCATTAAAATATTTATCTTTATTACTGAGTTTTAGGGTAACCCCTTAAATTTTTTGCCTAAGAAGAGTGTCTCCCTCGCCTCACTGTAGTCCCAGTCATGTTTAGGTGGCTTTCTGCTCTGAGGCTTCTAGTTGCCTTCCAGCATCAGTTTCTGAGACCTAAAGATTCTGGGGTTGGAGTGGACGTTGGCAAATAAGGTACTTGGGAATAATTATGGTTAAAAGGGAGAATCCAGGTCCCTGCAGCCCTTTCTCAGAGGTGCTTGCTTTGATTATTGTTAAGAGCTAATTGTGTTTAAAAGTGTTCCAACAACAGCCCACATCCCTATTTTGAAAGATGAATTAAAAAAGAAAGTTAACCCTTTGAACAGTTACTTATTTGTGTTCATGTGGGTTAAAAAATTGTAATAATCACTTTAAAAGGTAAATATTATAGCTGCTACAGAATGCCAAACCATCCCTTCGAACTAAAATACTGCATAACATAAGAATCCATCATTTTTATTTTTGCCCATCCTTCCCTAGCACCTGTATTGTGAAATTAAACAGATCGAGTAGGATGAGACTGTGTCAATGAAGCTCAGTTCCCCTCCCGCAAGTTGATATTGCATTCTGATTCAAGTAGGTTAAACAGAAAGATATTTAAAGACATTGCTTCCTTTGCCCACAGTTGCTGGGATCATCCATAGATGCTCTTGATGCCTCTTTTTACCCTAACGGTGAAAGCATTGTTGGATGAACCTAGATGTTTCAATTATTTTATTTTCCAAGAGTTAGAAGATAAGCATAAAAATTGGATTCAATATAGAGATTAACTCATAAGGATAAGTAAAAAAATGAAGGGAATGAAAATATTCCAGCACTGTAATGCATTCATTAAACAAGTTCTTATTTAGCTTTATCTTGTGAGTTGGATTTTGTTTTTGTAGACTAGCTTATGAAAATGTAGAACCCCATGGTATGCAAAGTTGCATTACAGTTTCTGTCCTTAAGGATTTTTGTAATTTTGTAGGATGGGGCAAACAGATGCATACATGTTTACAAACTAAGGTTGCTTGTTATCATCTGAATGGTGCAGTTGAAATTCAATAATACAACAGGAGGGAAGGATCCTTTAAGACTGGGATAGTTAGGAGAGGTTTTTGTTGAGGAGGTGGTATTTGACTTGGCTCTGAACTGTTCGGTGGACTGTTACTTTATAGCATATGCAGAGGCAGGAAAAGTTTGTACTTGTACAGAGAACAGAGCGCCTAGTCCAAGTGGTTTGAAACAAATGATCATGAGGAGCCTTGGGAGGTAAGGAGGCTTAGAGGTTGGAGGCAAGGAAAAAGGTGCAGATCAGTGAGCTTTAAAATTCTTCTTAAGTTTGTCAGCAATTTTATTTTTTTGGTCAGTTTTTCCTCTTTGCAGTCTAACCTGTTGCAACTGTGATTTATATCTTATCTAATTGAAAAAATAGTCATGCATGCATAAGATTTTCTAAGTATGAAACATTCTTCTGTTTCTTGACCTCATACTCCCCATCCCCCCATGTTCTTCTTTCTAATCATTAACGGGGGCGGGGGAGGGCGGAGGGGAGTCACTTGTATCAGACAACGTGGTTTAGACTTTTTGCCTTTGCTATATTATTACCTCTGACTGTAGCCGCAATCTCTTATATCTTTACCTATCAAATGTCTATCAAACTGTTCATATCCAATCTAAATATTAGCTCTGACAAAAGCTTTTTTCAATCATTCTGGCCCTAAAAGGTCACTCTCTCCTGGTATACTGTAGAATTTAGACTGTACCACTCATATGACATAAGCAAGTTTGATTTTTTCCACATTTTCCCCAACCACTCAGTCCTACTTCTTCGCATTGATTCAAACTTATATATACTTGTTTCCTCTATGTACACTCTACATACCTCCTGTAATATTTGCTACTTTTACAAAATATTTTTGTTTACTGGATCATTTTTTCCAAAATTACATTGGCTATTTTTTTATTAATGTATTAATGACTGGGAAAGCTGATTGCCTGACAATTCTCCACAGGACTCCCTAATTTCCCCTAGCTATTAAGCATGCCTGCTACTACTCTTGAAACTTACAGGAGCTGTAGCATGTCTATTTAGTAATCAATGGGAAACGACACAAGAAGATATAAAAAATTATAGATTAAAGATACCAACATTAAAATGTTTGAGATAGAGAATCCAAAAGAAAATATTAAGATTATGTGTTTATGAGAAAAGGGCTGCTAGACAGTCAGGACAAAAAAAGGGCTTCGTATGTTATATATAGTCATAATTTAAAATTGTATATATGATGCATAATTAAAAGTATTCTAGATGCACTGCTTTGCATGCAATGGGATCTCAAAAATACTGATTAACTAGTAATAAACATTTTCTTTTTCATGTTAAAATATCTCTAATTTTGGCCTCATCCATTACTACTATTATTCCCATTGTATTTCCAAAAAGATAAATGATAGATATTGGAAAACTACTTACTATTGTTAGCAAATAATAATGCATATAATTAAAATACTGTGTTTTAAATATATTGTTGGTTGGTATTTCTAGAGAGCAGAATAAATGGTGAGTCTACAGTGAGCCAAATACATCAATGCACTTATTTCTGAGCCTTGTTTAAGATTGATATGAAGAATTTACTTAGATTGATGATGGCAATTAGCTGAGGCTGACTCTGGAAAAACTATAATCCTGAGGACACAAAGCTTCCTATTTCCTATGTTTATTTGCAGCAGGCCCAAGACTAATAAAATACTGAATTAATGAATGACCCCTGATGTGATGAATCTGGAAGGTATGTTTCCAATGATAAAAATCAGTGGGGCTGCTTTCTAGGGGGGTAGAAGAAGATAATAAATTTTATGATTTTAATTGCAAAATTTCTGCCTACTTTTAAAGTGATAATTTAAGAGAATGTTATATTTAGGCTTTTAGACATTAAAGCTTAGAGGAGACTATTAGAGACTTTTCTAGTTTGGTACTCTCAGAATACAGATGAGTAAACTCATGCCCAGAGAGTTTAAATGGCTGGCCCAAGGTCATCTATTAAAAGTGGAGCAGTTTTTTTCACTTTTGTACTAAAAATTTTATCTGTGGTTGTGATATTAGCAATTATACAGCTTATACAGAAATGTTAGTGACTACATGGCACATTTAGTAAACACAAATTCTATTCAATCTCAGTGACTTCAAAATTCAAGAAACTCTTGCCATCAGCCCACTTCAGGTATATCTTTCTGCTTATTTACTGGATTCTCCATTCATCTATGATCTTAAACTTGAATCCTCTAGTCAGTTTTCAACTACCTCAAGAAAGCAGAAAACTTAGGCGAGAGAACTCTACTTTCACCCTTTTCTTTTCCTTTTACTTTTTGATATTAGGTAATTCCAGCGTATATGGGTTTTTAACCTTAATTTTCCAAATACTGGCCTATGTTTTCCTCTTTCCTTTGCCAGCAGAGAGGTTTTCAAATAAAATTCCAGTTGAGTTTTCTCATTGGCTAAAAGTTATTTGATGATTTCCAACTTCCAGTAGCGGTCCTCATTTACTTGAAGAGTTTCAACCTTTTTCATTTTAGCTATAAAGACTTCTGCTTCCTTTAAATGTATTTATTTATTTGCTCACTTTATTTTTAATATGTCTTTATTCTTTTAAATGAAAAAATGTTTAATTGTATATGTTAAGTTGTACAACATGATTTTTTAGTATACATATACATAATGAAATGATTACTACAGTCAAGCAAATTAACATATCCATCAACAAAATAGTTACCTTTTTTGTGTGTGTGTGGTAAGAGCACCTAAAATCTACTCTCTTAGTAAATTTCCAATAAATTTACTAAACTCTGTCCATTGAACTTAATTTGTATTTTTGTGGTATAGTTAATATCTATGTTTTTGCATGAAATACAAGACTTTAGATTTTAATATTTTTCTAATGTTTT